TTTCTTTTTTTAGCTATTAAAACCCCCAAAAAAATACTTTTGTTTAGGCTAAATGATTTAAAAAAAAAATTGTTTCTTTAATGTATTCTCGTTATATGTAAAACCTAAGCATTTTCATTCCAAGGTTATATTGTATAAAAGCTTCAGTTATGTGAAAAAAGTTTTTACAAAAATGTACGATAATAAAAATGAGAAAATTATGCAAATTCATTGAAACATCTGCCAAAAGACTTTAGTGTTTTCAAATTGTTTTTTGGCAACGTATTGCCTAAAAACAACCTGATAGCGCAAAATTTCAGAATCGGTCTAGACAGACACATACTTTCTCACTCACAAGTTCCTTCTAGAAATATATATATGATATAAGTAGAAACAGTTAACTGTTAAGATATTGCAATTCAGCATTTATAAGAGCACCACTTTCTGCGGTTATCCGTTTGAGTAACCCAGTCGCTCACTGCAGTTGGGTGGTCGCCGTTGGGGCAACGGAGTTGAACCATTTGTGACGTTTTGGTATTCAAAATCTAATTACTTCCCAGCGGCGAGTAACTTTTCTGCAAAACCATATCGTCTCGTGTCTCTTTTGCAAAGTAGCACTGTTTATTATAAGTTACCACAGTTCTACTAACTTCTGTAGTTTCTGTCTATGGTATAAATTTTACTCTGAAGTTATAGAAAATCCTTTTCACCACTTCTAATTTTAAGTATTTTTTCTTTTTCTTCTACATCTAATAAGTAATCTTTTTTTTATTTTGAAGTTCGCTCTATCAGCGCCTCAGTCCGCCAATGTGAAGCCTAGAATTATGAAATATTTTTGAAGTTTAGAGTTTTTTTATGGCCATGTTAATACGTCTCCCAGTTACTCTTGTTCCTGTCTTTTGAAAGCGTTTGAAAACTTTCTGTCTTCCTCAATGCAAGAATCCTTTTTGATACTCGTTATTTCTGGTCTGCAAAAAGGTCAACATTTTGATTTCTGTGACGCGAAATAGGTCAATTTTTTTTGGTGAAAATTTTTAGTGGACAGACAGTGGCTTCTTTTTGTATATTGTAACGATGGGTTTGACACTGCAATGTTCTGGAAGAACTATGAGATAAAGGTTTTACCGTTTTCTACAGTAATAAAACAACAAACCGCTTCAATTAGTCTTGCTAATGTTGGGTTTTTTACAGAATTCGGCTTTTATTTCAGTTTTCAACTAACTTTTGACAAAATAAATGTTATTAATGGCTCAGAAGACGGTAAATGTCCGAGAAGACTAGAGGAGAACAGCGACTTCACCGAAGTCGAGGTCATTTAGAGTGCTGAGCAGAGCCCTTTGGTAGCTGTAGGGAAAAAAAGCTCTGGGAAAATGAGCGGCCTGGTTACGGTTAATTCCTACAACCTGAAATCTGCTTAACACGAGGAGGAAAAAGCAGCGCAGTTCTGCAAAATGGTGTCCCTGTCTAGAGCTACCTTAAGGTAAAACAAGACATTCTTTAAATTAAAACAAGAAATGTAATCTAAATTAAACAGACAAAAAACACATATGAAATGAAATGGCGTTCTTCCTGTCTCTGTTACTTAAAGTGCTGCAAACCATTTTTTCTGCCGCAAAAGCAAAGAGATTCAGAAGAACTAAGGCTTCGTCTGCAAAAATTCCGTACTGGCAGGAGATATTTTTGTCTTGCTCTTAAGACTGTTCCTGTTTTCTTCTTCGCCATCATTCTTGAATGTCTTTTCCATTTTCTGTTTTTTTATTTCTTGTTTTTTCTTTCTTTCTTATCTGTACTTTTAACCAATTATTCTTCACGGTGAAGTCATGTAGACTAGAAAGTAGTAAAGATAATGTGGTACAAGAAAAGCAAAACTAGTTTGGTAACGATGAAAAGAAATATAATACGGAAGTTGAATATACGGTGTTGTGTGGTGAACTTACTCTTAATGGTTTTTAGCTTAATTTCTCTGCTCTTCTTGTTTTCATAGCAAATTGCAACTGTCTTAATGACTATTCAGCTTAAGAAACATCATCATAGTGATAGAATAATTTTAGTTTAAAAAATATGAATAAAAAAATGTTTTGATATATCTTACTTTGACAAACATTTATTATTCATTACTGTTTCTTAGCTCCCCTTTAGGCAAACACTTTTCTAAAACTAAACCAAAAAAAAGCTTGTTTTTGACACAAACATATACACAGATGTTTTTATTTTGCAAGTGTTACACAGTTTCATCAACGTACCGTTTGTTTGAATTCTCTTCAACTTCAGCAATACTAAATTATTTCATAAAAGTATTAATTTTGTTCGAAACTAGTAGTGATAAAATTAGGAAGAGGTGCCTGCAGAAAACATATTGAACTCAACGTCAATATCTTCTCCATGAATATTCATATCCATAGTTTCCAAGCACCAGTTATTTATAAAATACACCATAATTCTCGTCCCTCAGTAGCGCGAATTCTGAACCAGTTATTTAAAAAAATCTATGAAATGAAAAGCTCAGCAAACCTCTTACGTTGCCAAAATATAAAGTATTTTACTTTCTAAAACTGCTAATCGTCGTTGCATAAACCAACTAAATTTTCTAATAGTTTTAAATTTTATTTGATTTTTCGTTTTTACTGCAGCAAAAAATCATTAGTAGTAAAAAGTTTTATAAATCTTTCGAGGAGTTGGTCACAGTTCTTGTTCTAAAATAGAAGTGGGTACACAGAAAAACAAATGTATTTTCCAAATAGCCTTCTGCTGTTCTTTGACTAAGGTCAGATTACTGCAATATAATAAAAACTCGCTGCTTTCTTTTTGAACTAACAAGGATTCAAATGCGAAACAATAAGAGACAAATACTTCGGATAAACTTTTCTTAAAGTGATCTCCTTGTTTAGATCAGCAATTTTATGATGCTTCCAATGTTTTTCAATTCAGATCAAAGAAAAAATAATTAAAAATTTTTCTTATTGCAGATCAAATTGGCTGCACTAGTTTAAAATGAATGTTATCCAATTGCTGTTCAAAGAGAATTTGTTAAAAGAGTCGAATGGTCGAGAAAAAAGATTGTTTTTTAAAGGTTTTTGCAGTTACAGAAAAGTCTAACTTTTTAAAGGCTTGTCGTTTGTTCTTAGGTGAATCGTCTATGACAGAGATTTTTCATTAATTGTCGATTACACGTTTGAAAAATTTTAATTGATTAGTTTTTTTTTTAAATTAGTAGTAGTAATCTATACTAGTAGTATAACTGTAATGCCGCTGTCGGTTTTCCCTAAAAGTTTAATCAGACCTTTTTGAGTCACTTATGATTGTGCCACAATCCCGATAAAATTTCTACAAAACAATACGAAGGAATCCTCTGCATTGATCTCATTCAGCATTCTTTTACCTGTACCAAATTGTAATACTGTTTTATAACTAATAAGATTTTCAGCTATAAAGGGTCTTGTAGAAGTTTTATCAAAACGTTAATGCAAGCTTTTGGCAAGTTAGGCTTGCAGGAAGGCAAAAATGATTTAACAACCCATCATTCCCAGGAACTGCAGTACTCAAGCGTTCTTCTACTGTGTTATATTAAAAAAGACTTAAATTTTTATGTCACTGCAACAGATATATTTCGAGAGCTATTGTAAAACGCTTGACAGGTTTTATTAATAGTCATTTGCGGAAGTACCCTTAAACGTTTTTTAAAAAAACGAATATTTCTTTGCGTAATAACGAATGCTTTAAAGATGCCGGAAGAAGCTTTTTTGCCAAAACTGGAAGTTGAACCTGCATTATAAGATTTCCCAAAACGCTCCTACAGGAAGTCTCTGAGAAAGAGAGTTCTCGTTTAGTGTTTTTGCAGCATGATTTTGTCAATTCATCGCGTTTTCATGACAGATTGTCACCATGTAAGAACTTAATTAATATAAGAACTCCGCCATCTTTGCAAGACTGTTTTTGTCTAGATAGATTCAAATGTACCAATAAAAACCTTTTTTCGGGTTTCTGTTTATTATATATCGATGTAATGCTATATTTCAGTTCATATTCAGATAAGAAGATTTGTTGACAACCAGAATATATCACAAACATTCATGTTTGATAAATAAATTTTTTTAGTTGTTGCAATACAACAGACGATTTGTAACGAGGTCACATGTTCAAATTTTGATCGGTATCAGCTTATTCTCTAAAAAAAGCGTTTGTAAGAATTTGTTTTCGGTTGAGCTTCGCAATGATAAAACAATTTGAGAAAGAATTTTCTTACCTTACCGCAAATTTAGCCCCAGAATCTACCTCCATAGCCCATTCCATATCCCATTCCATATCCTGGAAATCCACCATGCATCCCGTAGCCGCCAAACGGATGGAAAGGATAGCCTCCCATTCCATAACCGTAGTACCGTTTTACACGTAACCTGTAATGATAGTCATTAGAGTAGAGAACTGCCAATTTTTTATTATATATATATATATGTACTTCCAAATAGGCCTCACTAGAGGCAGAAGGCTAGGAATGATGCACAAGTCGTATATCATTTTCACTCTATATTAGTCATAGATGCCAATTTTTAGAGTAGAGTTTCTCAACGTCATACCTTTCATTGTTTTCAAAATTGGTTTCGGCATATACTACCAAAATCGTACTGATAAAGAATAGAGCCAATAGCAAAAACTTCATTTTTAAATTTTTCAATAAACAACTCTGAAATGCATATCAGGTTAAAGACTTAATTATCGATTCAATCCATTTAGGTACGCAATGTCAATAATCTGCATTTATCTTCGACATCTTTGTTTTCCTTACTACAAACGATGTAGAAAGCAGTAGTTTTAAAAAACGAATCAAACTTTAATTTGAAAATTTTAATGTGGTACATCTACTGGTGTTAAAGATTTAATATAAAAAAAATCAAATTTTTATTTTTTATGCTGTTAGCAAAACACTGCTTAAGGAGAAATAAGGTAACGGCAGGTAAGGCCATTTTTCAGATGAGATAATCAAATAAACGAAACAGCGGAGATCGTTAGAATCCAACTATAAAAGGTAGAATAAGTGAAGCTCTGTCACCAAAAAGAAACTGAAGACTTATTTCTGAACTAAATGTCTTAGTTTCGGTTTAAATATTCATAACAGTTGACTTCCCATTCGCCGAAGAAGCGGTCAATGAAGGTGATAGATCAAGAATTAACGTTTTTTAAACAACAATTAAATAAGGGCAGTTAAACACGTCTGCTATTTGTTCGTTAAAAACAATATATTTTCTTAAAATTTCACGATTGTGATGCCAAACTGCTTTTTATCGGTGACTCATAGAAATTAGTCAAAAAAGAATTCTTTTATATAAAGGAGTAACTGTTAGAAAAAGTACGGTCATTAAGTGCAGTTGAACTTACCTGTTAAGAAATTTGTGAGCAAAACAAGCGGTGACACAGTAAAATACTTCACTTTAAACTGCGGCTGGTTGTCTACAAAAATACTACGTCAACTAACTAAATTTACTAATTTTTAAGTTTTTTTTTGGTCTTTTTTTTTCTGCTGCAGCGGGGTAACCCGCAGTGCAACATAATTCAAAAAATTTTTTTCATTTTTAGTCGTAATCGTCTCTCCAAACGGTTAAAATGAAGGTGTAAGTGCAGACAAAGAAAAACCTTGATCTCGATAGCATGATTTATCAACATTTTTATGAGAAGACATCATAAATGGGAAGTATTTGGTCGTTATCTCAGCAGTCTTCGCAACCTCAGTGACACAGTTATTAAAATCTAAACACTATTGAGTCATATAGCTGTTACAGTGCTCTGATTCTAAAAGGCTGCAGATCAAAAAGCGACAGTTGTAACTGAAAGTTACTTGCAACCAGAAACTTTGTCTTCAGTGAAGAGTTTAGATAAAAACCAAAAGAAAGCAACAGATTTGTTTTGGAAATATTTACAAATGAATAAACTACAGATGCAAATCATTACTTCATTTTTTTTTTTTTCTTTAGAGAAAGATAGTCTGATCATTAACTGGTCTTCTTCGAGACCAGCATGTCGAGTATTTCGTAGAAAATTTATCATTTACTTTTTTTAATTTACAAAGACAAAAAGCTACTTTTTGTTGGCAATTATAACTGAATGTTTTCTGATGATGAACGACAAAGTTATTTGAGTTTCTAAGTGCGCTAAAATAACCTGAGATCACTGAAACATACAGTTTTTACTTTTTCACTTTAGCAGTACCTACAGCAAAGCATCTCTTTTCTCATAAAGATAAAATGAATTTTAGCGGTGCTGCTAGTTCTGTTACCAAAATTTGAACAAACTTCAACTTTTTAGAACACATCTCAGATTCTTCTTTGTTTATCCTCTTTGACCAAAGTCTAATCATTTCAGTCTGAAAACCGTTGCTGCTTCTTGCATAAACAGACAAAAGTTTAACATAAGATAGCTAATGGTAAATTTTAAGTTGGGTAAAGACATACCTAATTTGAAAACCAAGTATAGTCAGAAATTTTTTGACATTTCTGATGTCTGCTAATACAGACAAAATAACATGTAGTTGAATATTCTTTTTATTGAATTAATGAGGGCAAAATTGACTGCACTGTATTAGGATGACTACTATTGAATAGTTGTTTGGGAGAATATGTTCGAAACAGTCGAACAGTTAAAGGAAAAGATAGAACATTCTTGAGAAGTTTATGGTTACAAAAAAGCTTAATATTTCTGAAAAGAAATTTCCTGAAAAGAAAAAAAAAGAAAAAAAACTTCTGAAAAGAAATTTCAAAAAGAAAAAAAAATTTCCTTTTTGACTGATATATTTCATAAAGCACTATCACACAAGATTATCGACACTGCCGTAACATTTTTAGCTCTGCAGAGTTTAAAAAATTTTTTTTATCAAATTGAGAAAATTTTTTTCCCAAAAACTCCCTCAAGTTTCTGTAGACATCGGTAAATGTTCAGTACTTGCTGTAAAAATCCTTCGAAACAATTTACATTTTGCAAGCTTTCTGATGAAAATTCATCAAAGATAAAAAAATTCTGCATCTTTAAAATTGTTTAAGAAATTCTTTTTCCGCATTTCATTTGTCATATAATACTTCCTCAGTTCATTATTCTACTTCGGTGCATCATTACCGTAAGGCAAAACAAAAAATATAACAGAAGATAGGTACACTTATTCATACGCTAAATCCTCTCAGTTTTGATAAAGTCTGTAAGGTCATAGATCAAATTATCAATCATATTCAGTAACGAATACGGTTTCTTCAAATAATAACGTTTTTTTTATTTCAGTTAAATTACCGGAAGCTCACTGTATATTTCAATGAGAATTTTTCAATGTTCAGCCGGCTTAAATAGTGTTTCTTAGAAAACATGAGAAATGAAAGTTTTCCGTACCATGACATTCGAAATTTTTTCTACAAACACGTGATGATGAAGAATTCAGCAAATTATTACAAACAGAGATAACTATATACTAGTTGTGTTGGTGTTTTTTGCGTTGTTAAAGACCGGTATTTCTACGACATTCAAGATCTTTCCACTGAATGTAAATTATTACGTACCGTCAGAAATTTTACTGACATAAGCTTATTTGCAAAATTTATGAACTATTTTTACTTGGAAGTATCACAGTTATCAACCAGTTTTACACTGAAGAGCACATGAAAAAGAATGGGCTGTAGGCACTGTTGTCATCACTTTTTTTAGCTTTGTTGTGTCAGATTGGTAATAGTAGTGTTAACGCTAACGCTGCTTTTAAATGTGCATAACTTCTTTAAATGCATTATTCTTCATGCTCGAGCGCAATTAACACCGGTAATTACTATCAGTGGTAACGAGAATATAAAACCGAAACCGTTTAAAGTTCACGTCATGAGTTATCAACCAAATGATTTCTTTCACACAACACGTGGGAATCTTTTCATGACATGTGGTTTCACTTGTTCGTGCCTTATTTTTGTTCTTGCCCTTGAACGTGTCAGACCGAGCCTCTATATCGCAAAGTACGAGACTCTGGAGCGTTAGAACTAAAAATAGCTACATTAGAAATCTGTTTACACTACTCTCTTATTTCGTACTTCTGAAAAAACCAAACTGTAATACCAAGGAGGCCTTTAAGAAAAAGAAGAAAAAAAGAAGTATACGAAGCCACTTAGGCAAGTTGTGGCTCTGCTCAAGTCACACTTACCAAAACCTTTTCATCAGGATTGCCTTGTATGAATAGACATCCTTTTCACAAAGCTATGAGAAGAACGAAGGAGTGCCTGGGTTGAACAGGGCTGGCGTAAGAGCCTGCCGTTCCAAAACAGGCACCAGTTTTTGTTTATTACAGAAATTTTTGCAAAGTAACAAAGGTCTCGTGGTATCAACGAAAGCATACTAATACCCCTCTTGAAAAATTGTGTCATTTTTCAGAAATAATGGACTTAGAATAATCCTCCCGTTTGGCCGTTATCACCGCATTTTTTGCAGTGAGAGAAGACGACCGTAAAAAATGAAAAATTAATGAAACTCATGAATTCTTGTCACACATCCTTTACACTGCGTCGATACAGATTTTGCCTACCAACTTAACACTTATCGTTGTTTCCAAGTCCATAAAAGAAAGGGATTTCGAAATGACTTGGGCTGTAGAAGACTGTAACTTTTTCTCGACGAAATAGCGAAGTAACAGGTGGAAAAATTCTGAAATTTTCTCGCTGCCGAAACAAGGCTCCTCTCCTTTATGAGGATTGCTTTAAGCTGAAAATCCCTTTCTTGTTTTCCCCAACGGTGCTGGTATGCGAGACAAAACTAAACAGGCTGCCAGTGGCGGACTCTCTCAACCACAACTGCTAAAACTGCGGGTTTGCCTGGCTCACGTGTAGTGCCAACTGTTCTTGAGCACGTACGCCTAGATGGGCTGGGGGCCAAATTAAACGGCTGTATTAACGCAGATTTCCGACAGTTGCGAAAACAACAATTTCATTACATATAGTATTGGGAGCTTTTTCAAAAAAGGAAACTTTTTTTAAAGAATTTTGGACTAATTCAGTGCAGCAGAGGTAAGCTTTGATGGAAAAGGAGAGTAGAGGTGAGGAATGAAGAGGATGACGGGAAAAAAACGGATAAGATATTCGCTTTTAAATTTCCTCCTATTTCTTCTTGTTTTTTTTAATTACGCTTTTCTTCAACGACTATCTGTATCTCGCACCGAACTAAAAAGCAGTAAAGCTAGATCGGTATAACAAAGACAACATTTGAGCAACTGCAAAAAATTGCATGAATACAGTATGTAAATTATGCCATTGTGCTCTTAAATGAACTTATAGCACTTTTTAAAAAATCATTGCAGATTCACGTGACTAGCGAATTTAATGCACAATTCTTTTTTCTGCAGTGCTTATTTAGAATCATAGTAGCTTAATTTTACAAAACAAGTCTAACTACTGTTAAAAAAATAGATCTCTTGATAATGAGAACAACGATCAGTTTCAGTACTGGTACAATAAAGAAAAACTAGCAAGCAAAGGTATATTGCTTTAAACATTTTGATCACAACTGCTTCTTTCCAGATGGTATTACGAAATTTTGTTTTCATCCTTATCAGGTACTATAAAACTACTCTATCTTAACTTGTTGTCAGATGGCAAGAATTTTTGTTCCACCCCTTTTTTGATTTACTGTTTTATCATCATTCGTAGATAT